TTTAAAGAAAATGCTTTGTCACAGAATAATAGTCTGTTAAAGGTGCCAAGTATGAAATAATTTGAGGACAAAAAACCAAACCTTCATAGAAATCGGAATAATAGGTCTTTTGATTATCGGAGACGCATTTCAATGGACTTGATTACAGACAATGCATGACGTAAATTTCACCAGGAAATTCCGCAGTGTGCTCTCGCAATCGAGGACTTAGTCATTTTTACAAGATTCGCCATTTTTGATGTCACGTGATAATTATGTAAACAATGACTGTCCAGTTTGTGCGAACTTGTACCTCTATACTTTGTCTTTTGAAATATATAAGCTAAATTGCTCTTCTGAACAAGACAACAGACAGAGAATGATTTATTCGAAAACGTCACAAAACCCTTCTCGCTACCTTAAGGAAAATCTATAAAATTCAGGTGCAGGAAAAATGTTAGTGATTTTCAGGAATATTATTTCCTGTAGAAATCTTCAGAGGATTAAATCATGAACATTTCTATTTTAGCCGTTTGATACAATACAGTACATTAACAATTGTTTTTGTTTTGTTTTATTTTTTCAGTCTTCACGTAACAAGCTAATAAATGCACAATACTGTGATAAATTCTGCCATGTACTGTGGAAAGACGGAACAGTGAAACATGTGCATGTAACAGCTGATGTACATAGAAACTATGAAAGACGAATGGCAGTGGCATTGGATGCTCTACAGAAAAGGTGAGTACAACCAATCAGTGCTGTTCCTTTTCATCATGTGACCACAACTGATGACTTGCATTTTCTTTTTACGAGTTACAGGATATGTGTTAGTGAAAACAAATTTAATATTTTTCACACACACATTAATCATTTTGCTTTGTATTGATGAGGTATAGAGCATATATGTTATCCCATCTATGGTTACTACCAGTGCAATTTTTTTCCAAACACCAAAACAGCAACATTGCCAACTACATTGTAAGTTGCTGACTGGTTTGTACAAAAAGTACATACTGACACAATATGAAATGTCATGACACAGTCGCTGGTGTGTCTGGGCTGTGTCATAATGTTCGTAAATTTGTGCATTGGTTTGAACTAACCGGTTCTAGTCATGTAACAATCTTGAGACATGTAAAATCAACTGGCATTGCTGCTTTGGTGTTCGGAACAATACAGCGATGACAGTAAAGGAAGAGATGATAAATAGAGGTAATAAATGTATTATCGGTATATATAATACATACATGCTTGTAATGTACACAGAATTGACTGGTTACAGCAGGGAAGTCGAGAGTTGTTCGGTACAATTATTGAAGATCAGGTCTACATTCTGATTGATGTCTCAAATTCCATGGAACCTCATTTGGATCTGGTCAAAGAGAAACTCATCCGGTTAATGGAGGTAAGAGGTGGCAACCAATATTCATTTTAATCTGTATTCTAGTTTGTTACAATCATTTCCAGTAAAGTATATTAGACAACTGTGTTTTGTTTGCAGTCACTTGTCATTTAGAAATTATAATATCAATGGTGTGAACTGCAATCTTTTCAATCTTAATGATACTACAGCATTCTGTTACTAAGTGACGCTACTTAGTTTTTGAACACACAAATCTATTTTTTCACAGGAACAACTACGCCACAAAATGAAATTCAACCTCATTAAGTTTGGGACACGTGCAATGACATGGCGGGACAGAATGGTCGACGTCAATGAAGCTAATTTGCATAGTGCTTGGAGCTGGGTTCGCGGATTGACAGTAACCGGATCAACTAATACATTATCTGCATTGAAGCTGGCATTATCAGATCCCAACACACAGGCAGTCTATCTCCTTACTGATGGGAGGCCTGATATGGTAAGCTCATCTGTACTGATTTGGTAATCTTTCCTTATGATTCATGGAATCTTACATGTTATGAATGATATTCTGTATTTGCTCAAAGTTTTTGATATATAAGGATAGAATTACCTTGCCTAGGGTTTAATTGTAAATCCATTTGCAACTGTGCCATTGAACATCAATTATAGACCGTTCATTTGATATTGATAAACCTTTACATACATACATATGTGTTCTTCAAGGTCGGTGAAAACTAACAAAATATTGAGGAGATACAAGACTTACTGGTACATGTATGTCACCATTATCGTCTCATTGACGCTGTTTTTTTCGGCAATTCTCAGACTTATCGATTACATTTGGATTTTTGGGTATATTCACTAATACTAGCAACCCTCCCACCAAATAATAAAAATAACAGAATATGGTATTGTTTATAAATGAAGGTCAACTAAAAACCTTCAAATTTTGATTCACACTTATAATAAGGTGACAAGAAGTTTGGATTACTGTAAAATATTTGAGCTGGAATGAATTTTTGCTGAAAAGATTTTTTGGGTGTTTTGTATGGAATTTATTTTCACTGATTATTGACAAGTTGAATGAAAAATATAGGGAAAAAGGTATATTCGTTGGATTTTATTTGCACTGAATCATTCCTTCAGCGAAAATAACAAAAATTAATTCCAAGCAAAAATAAAGTATTTTACAGTACGGTACTATCAAATAACAATACTGAAAATATTATTCTTTGTCAACAGCCACAGAAGACTGTATTAGCTCAAGTTCAACTACAACAGAAAGTACCCATCCATACAATTTCATTCAATTGTGCAGACACAGAAGCTAATCAGTTCCTAGCACAACTAGCTGCTGACACAGGAGGGCGCTATCACTACTTTTCAGAGCAGGGCACAAGAGATCCTGGTGGTCCCATGCCGTTTGAGGTGAAACATTTTGTATTTTGCCATTTTTCTACATTATATAAGTTAATTATTGAGTGAATGTTTTTTGTTGAAACAACTATGAAATGCTCACCACTATAAATACTTTGTTTCTGGAAATGGTGGCATATTTCATCATGTGACCACTATGGCGATGCATCATTGGTTCATTAGAAAATCATGCAAATTTTTAATATGGCAACCTGTCTTCCAATGTTCAGAGTGAGGACATCAGATTTTTGAAAGAAGAACTGGACAGAGGTCGAGAAGATCTTTCAAAGATAGCAAGATTAAGGGCTGAATGTGCAGCCTTAGATTGGACCAATAATAGACATGTAGAGTTTGGTTGCAGCAGAGACCATGGATTACCGTAAGTCATCTACACTCTGAAGAAAACATTTGAATTCCAATCAGTAATTTCCTTGATTGTCAAATTGGCTAACAAGCATACTTCCACCTATCTTTGTAGGCCACGTCCAGCTTCGGCACCAGGTATGCGAATGGATTCTCCCAAACCACCAATTACTCCAAGAACTACCCGACCCATGTCTGCATTTGGTACAGCTGAACTGACCACACATATTAAATGCCACAGCTACAGAGCTGGGACTTTCCCTAGAAAAAACTCTGTAACTAAAGGGAAGCCAAAGCTAGTTGCAGGTAGGTGAATCTGTCAGTGTTCACTGATAACTGATAGGTGGAAATAGCTACCACTGTTAGTAGGAGATACTGTGTATTAGCCATTCCTTTTTATTTTGTAAATATTATTAACCTTTGCAAATATTTTATTTGTTCTGTTTATTTCACTTTTTTCTTGATTTATGTAACATATCATTTGTGCTCTTTTTTTTGGCCTGTTTTTCTTTGTGAAGCCCGGAAAACTGAGGTTCATGACATACGTAAGTGATTGGATGATTGCATGACCAGCTGATGAATATGCATAAGCTGTCATCAATATTCATCAGATCTAATGAATATGCATATGTTAGTCATGAATATTCATCAGATTTCATGAATATGCATAAGTTTGGCTTCACCATTATGAATCTGCTTCTAAAAATATGTATTATGTTATATATTCTGCTTGGTGATTACCCCTTGTTTGATTTGTTTTGTAAAAGCTTCTGGTAAAAAGGTGGTGGGTGAGTGTTTATTCCAGTTTCCTACCAGTGTAGTCTGGTCCCAACCCTTTCCTGCACAGGTGTTCTGTGAAAAGGCATATATTCAAATGTTGCATAAATTCATGTAAATATATTCATGTCATGTAGTGATAAATAATGTGCTCGTTCCAGTATGGTGAACAAGTGCGTAATGCTGTAATAATTATGGAATAATTAAACAAATAAACCAATTATTGGAGAAAAAAAAATGGAATTCAATAGTGCTGCCTGTTGCAGTAAAACATTTTCTCTCCTGCACTGGTACTGTTGTTCAAATACTTTGGCAACCTTAGATTTATTACTACTGTTACCATAGTGATTAAATTGATCATGTTAAACTCCTATGGCATTATCATGATGCTATTGCTTGACCATTTCATATTCAGTGAACATGTGTGTGTCATGTAAAATTATAACATTCATTTAGATTTCATTCAATTATAATATATGACTAGTACATTTTTAATGTAGTGCAAATAATAATGGTCGCTAGGTATACTTACATTAAGAAATGATAATATATTTCAAAATTGAACAATGCAAGACTTGAAACAACCATAAACTGAAAATAATACCTATGTGTTTAAACTGGCTTTTTTGTGTGATCCGAGTACCATGACAAAACCTTGCCATGTAACACAGACCACAGTCACTCTACTAGAAGAGTGACTTTGCACAGACAGATACAATGTATATGTCATTATGAGTATTGATGTTTGGAAGTTCGTGTTGACAGAGTTTTGTCACATGTGATCTCTAGATCCCGTACTTTACTGAAAACAGCCTGTTGACTTAATATTTGGCAGACAGTCAAAGAAATATGGCAAGTAACCAGCATGTAGCATTCAAAGTTAGATTATATGATTGTGATTTTTGTATTTACTTTCAGGCCATACTAAAACCAGTCTGATGAGAACCATGAGTAGTACTTCATTTGATCCCAGCAAGCAATGGATGTTGCCGGAAACCAGGGAATTGTTTGAAAAACAGTGGTCTAAATTTAAACAAGCATTGGAAGGTAAGATTTCATGGCACCAACATTTACTGTATCATTCTAAAATTTTGAATATCTCATGTTTGCTAGTTTTCAGTATTATTCTCTATACCTTTACCTATTCTTTTAATCTCAACAGAAACTGAAAAAATAGACCGACTGGAGAAGATAAAAAAACAGAAAAAGAGAACTCTAAGAATCAAAGATAAAGAGTAAGTTCCTTGCTTTGTAGGATGATATTCTGTGCAACCTTATCACACCCACACAATTCACCTATACTGTATTTTGAAGGCATTTCACATGTTTGTATTGTATTATATTGTATGTTTGATTTCAGTCCGTATGAGATGACCTCAAGGAGGTGGTTGAAGATTTACGGTTTAAGAGCTCGTAAACTGACAATCATGGATGCTTTGTCACCTACCGCTATTCCACATCGTGCCAAATATGTACCAATACTTGATAAGTACGTGCTGTCAAAAGTGTTTGACGAGGTAAGTTCAGTGCAACCACTAACCTTAGAAGTGAGGTGCTGCTGTTATTTTCGAGCACTCAATACAGAAAGGCATTCAAGTTGCATCACTGCGAGAACAAAAATGATCCTGTTTTAGCTGAATATACCGGTAGTAGCGCATGTGGGTTACCTGAAAGATCAAGTTGTATCTATTGTCAGAATAATTCATATTTTCAATGATCCAGCGTACAATATATACAATTTGTGGAACATCCGTGCTTCTATATGCATTACTGATGCATTTCTAAAATAACAAATACAGAATTGTAACCATGTGTGTGATAACTAAACTACTATTTAATGTTTGTAGGTATTACCTCTAGCCCATACTACTGGATCTAATAGAAAGGAAGTGAAATTAATCAACCCTCACGGCGTCAATCTAGTTGGTTATGAAGAAAGATTACAGGACGCCATCAATGATTACAACAAGAGATTAGATATGATTGTATGGAAGGCCTTGACAGATGAAGAAAGAGACAAGTAGGTGTTTTATATCTGCCATCATTTCTGTACTTTTAGTGAAGGTATTTTTAGCAAATCAGCAGTTTCTAGTTTTTTCTGCCCTTTTGTAGATTCAAATCCAAACAATTGGCTTTATTTACATTACCATGTTTTGAGACCACACCAATTTTATTCCATACTTAATGGCAGTACTCCATGAGTTCTTGAAGCCATTTCGTAAAATGCCTGGTTTGTGATATATTAATTCAGTCATTTCCTATTTCAATATTTTAAAGTTACCAATAACAAGTCATCAAGTTCAAGTGAAATGCAATCAGATAATGTGGTACAACTGCAAGATCTAATTTGTTTAAATCGATGAGATAATTTGCATATTTAATCATATAAAAAAATCTTTGAACATTGCCACCAATGCTTTTAGCATTTGGAAGCCGTTTCTGAGGTTGATGTGATTATTTATTGTTCTAGATTTGGCAGTGAAAACAGTGGTCCGGTCTCTTTCATGGACAATAAACTAGAACTGATGCAGGCCCTGGACAGACTAGGATGGCCACTACGTGAAGATGACATCTTATTGCTACAAGAAGAAATAGAACAAGCATATAAGTACTTGCAACAGAGCAAGGACCTAAGGAGGGCTGCTGAACGTAAAAGTAGTCTGTCAAGCATCGGTACTGACAACAATCGACCGAAGAGTGGTAAGAAAATAAGACGAAAGAAGATCAAGAAACGTTATACTCAGAATGATGATTATTACGATGACATTGAAGATGATATAATTGATGACGGAGACGATGGGGATGACGTCTTTGATGAAAAGTCAACAGCGAGAGAATATGAGGTAGCCTATTAACGAAATGGTGATAGATTGTAGTTTTCACAAAATTTACATGTATATATCATAATAGGAATTTAGGATTTAAGAAAATCATATTGAGTTAAGTTTTAAAAAGTGACTCAATGATAATAAAGCAGGTAAATCATGTATGCATGATTTGTATATAGCTCTAATGTTTCTGAAGATACAGGCAAGTACGGAGTGGAATCATTTTTCAATGATAACTGTTTAGGATATGAATGAAGGAAGTAATTAAAATTTAGGAAGTGTGAAGATGTATGAATAAAATCAATTCTAAGAATTCAGATTTGCTAAAATAAGCGCTTTGCAAAATTTGCCAGTTGATAATATTTTTAAAGCCCACCTATGTTATGCAGAGTATTAAATAATATTGTTTTCATGAAAGTTGCTGCTTAATGAGTTCTAATTAGTCAATTACAAAATGGCTTCAGTCAAATTAGGGAAGGGGGAATACATAGGTATTTCATGCAATATTTTCAATTGTGTATCAGTATTCCATTTGATAACTAAGATTTAATTTTTAGGGTAAGTATTGAGGGTATGCTTTCCCCGGTAGATGAAAGTCTGGTTTGTTTTGAGTTTCTCTGCAAAGTAATGCTACAAGTGCAATCATTTTATACAGGGTGCAACTGTGCATGCAAATAGTTGCTTTTATTATACTAGATATTTTTTTTTTTGCTTGGATTTTTTTTAAAGAGAATAGTAATTACTCTGTGGCTTTGCATGTACATTTTAGAAAGAATTTTTTAAAAAATAGTCTTTGCTGTTTACTGGTTTACTGATTCATGATGCTTAGTGTTCTGCTTGACTCCTCTATGCAAATGACCTTTAATGTGCCAAATGTCATCCAATCAAAATGCTGAATAGTTTCCATTCTCTTAAGGGTGCTAATCACATTGTCAGTTTTATCCAATCAAAATGGTACTTATTCAGAGGCCCTAGTTTGCTGGTCATACAACCTGCTTATTAATCAAAACATAAAGATACTAACTGAATCACGTATCTTAGAAAAAAAAATAATAAAACAGTTTTTACAAGCCTTGTATTAGCGAGGAGAAGCAGAACAAAAAGTAATAGTTAGTTTGCTTTTTAATATAACACTAACCTGAATTTCAAATTTTTCTCTTTTTTTTGAAATAAGAAAAAACGTAGTAAGATGAAGGTATGAAACTGTATAATCAGATTTTGAAGAATTTTGGCAATAAGTGTATTTTGTTTCTGTTTGTAACAATTGTAGTTTTTTTTTTTACCAGAATACAACCATATGTACTTATTTCAAATAACACACAAGCAGAAGTATTGGGCCTGGTTTGACCGTAACCCTGAAATAAACAGGGATGCACAACTGTGGGAATTTCTTTTGTTTATTCAGTTTAATTTGACAAACAAACTTGATGTGCGAACAGAACGATTCATGATATATTGTTGAATCCAGTAATTTCATGAAAATAATTTCAACTCGATAATATTTTCAGTTTTGAACAAGAATTTAGATTTTTGATGACTGTGAACATTAAAGAAACTGGGCTAACCCAACCTACCCTGTTTTTACTGCCCAACCCTAAATGTTTTTTTAGTTATATTTGAGCAAACGTAACAAAATTGTGCCAGGCTTTTGAATGAGATTTTACAAAAAATTCAAAACTTGTAAAACTGTGTAGTTTAAACAACTTTAAACATGATTTATGGTAATCATTTATACAAAATTTATAGAAAAATCAAAAAAAAAAAAATTTCCCTACCTTTTGAAAAGCATATTACAGAAACCAAAACATTGTTTTTATTTGGCCTAATGATTCAACAGAATGTCTCTCATTTGATGTGTGCCGTAATTGTGCATTTTGTTTTTAATGGTGTCTATGGTTTGAAGAAATTGAAGAAGTGAGAAATTTATTTTTACTTTATTGCTGAATTTCAATCCTTATACTTCTGCTTGTATGCATTCATGCATCTAACATCACACAAACAACTGATAATCGTAAAAGTGTTGTTTTGGCTGCAAACATAGCAGTGTCTGGGATGAAAACACTAATAAGTATATCTTGAGGATTGCATATTAGCATCTTAATTTGTGCATCAAATGAATACTACGATGTTAGCAGTCAAAACAGCAATTTATTTTATTATTCAAAGTAGGAGGGTCGTCACCTGCGCACGCACGGGAATTGAGTCCCAAGCGATGGTAACAACACACGCTAAACATGCAAAGGCTCATGGGTAGACGCTTGTTTGTAAACAATGACATGCTATGGCCATTTGACGCATGCGCAGGTGACGACACCCCCGCTTTAAGCATGCTTATCCATACTTCCACTAAGAAATCACCTACTGACGCCATTTTTATCTCCTATTCATTTTTTTTATTATCCGCGGATACTTTTAGCAGGTGATTGGTTAAGTGGATGAAAGTTCAAATGTTTAAGTCTATCATTTGTCTTGTATTGTATGATTGAGATAGTTACTGTGAATGAAAAAAGCAACCAAACCATCAGTACTGTAATATAGCTTTGCAAACCAAATAGCAATAATGATAGTTGAAGTGTAACTGTTTTTAATGGTAAGCTGATATATATTGCTACTTTGTTAGCAAAACAGTGAGCTATATTGCAATACTGCTGGTTGGGTTGCTTTTTCATTCCCAGTAAAAATTTCAATTCGTCCATGCATGCGTTAGGGTTTCCTAGACTGGTCTCGTGATATCGCACCTATTGTATGTCCCAAACAAAATTTTCAACTGACAATAAATCTAAAAACAGCAAAATTTCTATATCTTTTACTGTAGGGCTTGGGCAGCTCGATATCAGAGACCAGCTCTAGTAAGAAGCCTCCCACATCCAGGAAAAGAATACAGAAAATATTAGATAAGAGGAAAGGCATGAGTGTTGTCGGTCGAAGTGAATCCGATGGTCTCTATTATCCAGGTAAAGAATGTACATTCAATCACATACTAACACATGTGTGAAATACATGTGAAATATTATTCCCTCCTTACTGTGAAATAATTTATTTTCACTAGAATTAATTTTCGGTGAAAAGACCTTTTGGGTATTTTGTATGGAATTCATTTTCACTGATGTAAAATATAGGAAAAAATGTATATTTCCTAGATTTTATTTTCACCGAATCACTCTTTCAGCGAAAATAGCAAAAATTCATTCCAAGTGAAAATAAAGTATTTTACAGTACTAACAATATATGCAATCAGTTGCAACACTATGCAAACCATGATGTTAGTTTGTCTTGATGTCATTGATTTCATTCTGAAAGTACTACATGTATGGAGAATATAAATTTACAAAATATTTCCTACCGTATGTATATGCAAATGTGAAGATTATTAACATTTTCGCCCATATAAGGTGCTATGATCTCCTTATATGGTTGTACACACATAAAATGTCATTTTTGTAGTAATGTTCCAACTGCGCATCATTAAATATGCCTCACTTACAATTAAAACACAAAACAATCCTAGTTTTTGTAACATTATATTTCATGTATATTTTTCCTATACCTAGTTATTAATTCAATATTAGCATGCATTGTGATTTTTATTAATATCGTTGTACAGATAAATTCTTCCTCATTCTATTCATTGACTGCATATACACGTATGTAAGAGTGTGTCAATATTGAAATAACCTATAGAATGTCAATATCACTTTTCACAAAATAAACCTGTATATTTGTTTTCCATATTTTTTTCAAAATTTTGATAAAGAATCATAGCTTGTTGGAAGTATGTCCATTTGTTTCAAAATTATAGATGCATATAAACATGCATGTTGAATCAAAACTTGTGACATTCAACAGGTTAACAAGTTGGCACTGTATCATCATATCTTATCTGATAAGTAATCAATTCAGTATTTGATACACCATGACTAATTGTAATTAATAATATTATTAATTATTACATTTTTCAACTAATTCATGAAATACATTTTAACTGATGTCAAGTCACAAATGCAATAAATTCATTTTTTTCCCTTCTAATGACGTGTCATTTTTAACCCCGATTTCCATTCCCACTCACATCCATTCCCCAAAGTGTTTTCAACCGTTATTACCGGTAGATACCATTGAATGTAGTCTGAGAATCAGGGATTTCTGTTTTGTGATTCGATTCAAAATAACCAACTGACAGTCTTGTTGGTTTTATTGTTATGTCTCCAAGCCATTTCTCAGACATGCTTTGACACATTTTGTTCATAGTTGTTACACAGACTAGACATAAGTCTGTATTTTGTAGTATAACCTTCTAGTTTTTTACAATATCCAAGGCCATATAATTGTTATTCAGTGACAGGAGCTGTGACAGTTATGTCCTGTCAATCAAGAAGCACAAAGGCCCTTATCTCTGCAACACTTTGACCTATGGTGTTTTGAACGAACAAATCATTAAGCATCTGACTGAAAAAAAAAACAGGTTCTACCATTTGCATGTATCTCCTCAACTTCACAAGTGAAAATCATTTGTTTTAAGACAAATTCCAATGATGAGAAAATTTCTTTGATGTGGGAAATCATCGGTTTTATTAGTCGATTACATATAAAGTAATCCCTGTACTCCAAACATGTATGGTATGGTTACAGGCATGACTGAGGATATTCCAGTGAAATAAACAAAATTAAAACTCAGTGAATAATTAACCCTTTTACAGTAGTCACTGGTATTACCGTAACAAGTGTATTCCATATTTCATCATATTTGCTGTATCAGAAAATGATTTCGTTAAATCAATGTAAATTTGGTGTACCTTACAATTTATTTGGTACTTATTTGGTACTTATTTGGTACTTACAATTTATTGGAGAGACACTAAAGCAAATAAGGTAGTCTTTGTGAACACATGTCTGGGTGTCATTGCATTTGGTCTAATGGTGAGTGTGCCTCCTATCAAGGACAGTATGTTATGCCATGTCATATTGTTTGAGATCCTTGCTGCATTTATCAAATATTTTGTTATTTGCTCTAATATTAATATTATACCGTTTTTGTTCCAATAAAAGCACATTGCATTAATTGTATACTGTAAAATGATAGATTTTCACTGGGTTTAAATTTCGCTGATTAACCATTTCAGGCATAATTCAGTAGGTCTTAAATTCACGGTTTTATCATTTAGATAATGTGTTTTATGCTAAATTTTACATATTCACTTGGTTTTAATTTAGCGCATTTTCCAGTCAGTGAAATAAGCAAAATTAAAACTGAGTAAATAATTAACCTTTTTACAGTACTCAATCATTCAAATAATACTTCTTTTGGCATAGACACACGGCTGTCATTTGCATAAGTGTATGTGCTACTAATAGAATAAATATGGTATATAAATTGTAGTTGATTATTTTCTTATGATACGCACTGACTTCTAAAACACAGGAATTGTGACACAATGTCCCGATGCTAGACATGTTGAAGTGAGTTTCCGAGATTTAGCCGTGGAGATAATCCCCTCAAGGTTTGTTATACCAATTGGTGGCGCTCAACCATGTCCAGGACTTCGGGTAAGTCACTTCAATGTTCAACCAAAGAACCTCAAAACCAAAACAAACTTAGTAGAAAATAAACTAGTAGAATTGAACTGAATTTGATACATCATGTTTTCCAAAACAAGTTACAAAAACAGCTTAGAATCAACAGTCAGCAGGACAATTACATTGTGACCTGATACATGTATTAAACAATAATACGATATCATTATTGGTGGATTTTCAAACAAAAACATATCTACACCACAGTAAACAGCCATACCTAAACTATTCTATCATAAACACATTACCGGTAGATACAGTGCATTTTAAAAATTTGGTTACATAATCTACTGGAAAAAGTGTAACATGGCAGAAGTAAACTTAGTGCATGCACCCAGACCCTGACAATGTAATAGAACGTGATGTACCAAGAATCGTCATATAGAAAATTCTTTATTCCTTTTGATATTTTTTAGTGTCTTTGGTTTGACATTTACATAAATCTTTTTAACAAATCAGGCTATGAATATTTCAGTTTTGCAATATATGTATTTTAATAGTAATGATACCTGTAAATTGAAATTTTAAAAAGTACACCCAAAATGATTTTGATTTCAATATGATATACTAAATCCATTTTACGACACTATAGAAGAAAATATAAGTATTGTATTTTCAGTTGTTCAAATGGAAACACCATGATTATATACAATATCCCATCAATGTTAATATTGACTCTTTCTCTACAGGTTGGTGATTATGTTTTAGTAAAGACTACTGATGATGACATAGAATGCTGGGTGCCTGCTATTGTACAACACACACCGGAGGATAGAAACAGACAGGCTAAATATTTCACAGTCTTAAAATACAATAATAGAAAGGTACAATTTACGATTTTGGATTGACCCTTGTATTTATGGTAACTTTAATACAATGTTGACACCATGGAAACTTAGCAAACTGTGTTCTGGATAGAGACGTTTTGTACAATTTGTGAAGACAGTACTTTGGGTACCATATATATTTTTGACTATTCAACAGCCATAGAAACATGCACTAGATACCTCATCTTATTTATCTAGACCATTACTTGATTAAATTTAAATTAAAAAGAATTTGCAGTCTAGATTCATTTTCTGTTTTCATTCCCATGGTATAGAATTTTGTTAGTTTCAACAATTGATTGTATCTGTATAGTGCTGAAGTGGTTCACTAGACTGTGAGGAAGTCTATTATCATAAATGAATTGGAGAATGTACAGAATACATACCTTTGTTACAGTGAACTCAGACGTGGTCACATGAGTGGCCTTCAGTGTGGGTTTCTAGTAAAGCTATTGTACTATGTAGAGCATTTAAATGTGTCAACATTTCTATTCTAAAAAACAGGAATGTGTAATTGGTAATATTATTTAAATGGAAACAATTTTATTTTGTAGAACTTACTCAAAGAATTGAGTTGCAGGACTGAAACTCGTGCAGTCACCTCAGACTATTAAAAGTATACTATGTAGAAAATAATATGTTAACATTTCCACAGTCTCAATTTATCCAAATGCATTTACTTCTATAGATCAAATAAATTATTCTGCTTTTCACACAACTTGTGATGAACAAATTTGAAATAAATGATGGATTTTGTGACACAAATATGCCAAATTGATTTTATTGAACAAAGGTGTCAGTCATATTAATATCATGTTTGTTATTTATACATAGTGCACGGCTCTTCGCAGTGAACTCTTGAAGATTACAAAGTCAAGGTTCAGTTTTGCACTTCGTTTCATTTTAGAATTAAAGAAAGAACAATATCAAAGGTAAGACTGTATATATCTTCCGTACCTCCACTCAGTAAGTAGTGTTTCAGTCACCTTGATTGTTAGACCAGGGGAAATACTGACTAATGATTCTGAGAACATTACCAGTTTATCAAAACATGGGTTTTATCTTATAAGTCCTTGAACAACAAGTACACTTTTGTCACCTAAATAACAGTTTTCCATTTTTTTTAATATTTTTTCGGAAGTTTTGATTAAGATTGAAAGTGATGAAAACTTATCTCTATTGTTCCAATTTTAACAAAGAAAGAATCTGCAGAATAGGGTACCGACAATTTGACTAGAAAAAAACATTCTCTTTCAAAGACCCCCTAAATGTCAGAATAAAGTTTCATGTGATCTCAATATTCAATACCGGAATAAGGATTGCATTGGATTGAAAAGTATTAATACAGTTATTGTGATCTGAAATTCACTTTTTCGTTGAGTCGGCTTTTGCGTAACGACCGTTAAATTCAAGATAAAAACTAATTAAAACCTCATTTGCATACGTTCTGCCGGCTAGCTGGGAGTTGATTTATTAACTGGGTCACACATGTATATTTCATAAAAATAGCAGCGAACAGTACCATTATTTTATCTTCAGTATGAACAACTGCATCTTGCTAACCAGTCAATGCACATGTGCGTAAAACAATTGTGTCGTTCTATTGTAGAGCAATACTGAATGAGCATATAAGGAATTCATGTTGAAAGTAAACTTTTTTTATTGACAGAGAAATTATCACAGCTTCTTATGATGAGAACAGACGTGGAAGAAAACATCACCGTAGACACAGAAAACATCGTCATAAACACAGAAGACGAAGAAGAGATGAAGATAGTGACAAAGATGAAGATGAAATCGCGAAGGTAACAGGTCGGTATTCAAGCTCAGAAAGAAGTCGGAGTAGGAGCAAAAGTGGTGGAAGTCATAGTCGAAGTCGGAGTCGAAGTCGAAGCCGTTCCACTAGCCGTAAGTTAATTATATGCAAATCTATTCATGCTCAGGCAGTTTCTAAAATATGTTAATCTGGAAATATTCTATTGGAACCTGTGTTTGTTGAGTAGAGTAACAAACCATTCTATACTGCTTAAAATACATATTCCTGGTTGCAACGTTTCAAATGTGTTTATTTGATCTTTACAAATGTGTTTTATTTGACCTTAAAGCGGTGTTGATAATGTATCCCCTCCTTTTTCATCATTTCTTATGTCTTGTAAATATGTACTTGTAGGAAGTAGGTCTAGATCTCCAGACTCAAGGGGAGGAGCTCAAGCACCGACACCAACACCACGTAGTTTTAGGAAATCAAGTTCAAGATCGAGATCAAGATCTAAGTCTCCCTCTCGATCCCGATCCAAATCCCCCTCTCGATCCCGATCCCAATCACCCTCCCGATCCCGATCACCTCCAAAGAGAGACAGGTCTAAAAGTCCTCATAGAGATGAAGTATTCTTGTCTGAACATCACAAAAAGTTAGAGGAATTGCAGAGAAAGTTGGAAGAACAGCAAGAATCACAATTGAAGGCACAAGAGGTACTTATATCTATTTTTAATATACATATTGTGTGGTTTATAGTATATTTAGTGCATGGTGTAGTTGCATTATTATGCACATTTAACATGAAATATGTTGAAGGTAATTTTTTTATTGGATGTTGCCTGAATATGGAAAGTAAGTGTTTCTGAATTCATGGTACATTAGAATTCAAGAGCATTAACCTAGAGGGTCTTTATAATTGAATATAGTGAACACAATAGTCATTATGGACACTGTATTATTTTTCAAATTAACACTGTAAAATTAAAATTTCCACTGAGAATGAAGCAAGTTTAGCGTCATTCCAGGAGTTTGAATAATTCCTGATTCCCACATTACCCACAGACGTGATCTTTGTGCGTGTGTAACTCACCAGGAAATTGTTGAGGGTCAAAACAACAATGGACAGGCAACCCCCAAAAAAGACAGGAACACATTTAAAACAGCTTTTAAAAGATTGTTGAGAAGACATTGTAGATTGTTATGAAAAGGGTCAGCTAGAACTATACAGCTGACAAACTTAATTGATTACCAGATTTTGCAGAGAAAATGAACTGACAAGAAGATAGTACATGTGTGTTTTTCTGAGTAAATTTGAACATGACATTTTTGTTTAACCCCCCCCCCCCCAAAAAAAATATGAGTTGGTTAGTGCTGCAAGTGGGAGACACAGACGAGCACGTACTGCAATTCTGTCCGATTAGAACATTGGTGAAATCTGTCCTCCAATTTTAAAAATACCATTGGTTGAACACCAAAAAGGGTTGATCTGTACCCCTGGGTGAGTGTGCCACAGACATAGTGGGTCACACAGCCCTGTCACATTGTCCCAAACTGAAATAGAATTTCTATGCACTATATGTCAGTACTCCCCCAAATTTGCACCTAAAAATTCAGAAGAGACAACAGTGACATTCAATGTCCAGACTCCCGAACTATCATCTGGCACAAAAAAGAGGAATATTTATCCTACTATTGTTTGTTGACCTCAAGTCATGGATACAAACAATAAATACAGAATATAAATAAATAAAAATAATCATATATTTGGCAAAGTATAAGAAACACACTATGGTATCAATCAAAGTCTCAAAGCTTAGTTAATTTATTCATGAATATGGACATAAATGTGTGTTTTTTTTACTTGAAAGGATTTACGGATTCAACAAGAAAACTTGGTTGATGCTGCCAGGCAACTGTATGATGCTAAGATTGGAGAGTTACAGAATACACAAGCAGCTCTGCTGAATGAACAGGAGAAATTACAACGGCAGCAAAGAGAGTTGATTGAGAAACAAGAACAGCAGATGAGAGAATCAACGGTAAGTTAACAACCAAAAGCTGTTGATAAATTAAGACACAGATGTATAAACCGTGTTTGATTCCTATATATGGTCTGAGATTATATGTGCTCAGAGCAACAGAGATGAACTACACTGTGAACAGAAGTGACATTTGAAAGTGAAATACAAGATATATATCGATGTGCGTTTACACTAGAAATCATATGCCTACCCTATTGTCTATTCAATCAATCAGCAACTGATCAATTATCAAAAAAACGTATTTCCTCGATACAACCATCCCTATACTATGTGTAATATAACACATCCATTAAGTCATTATCAAATTGTTTAATACTTTTTCACAGTTTGTTAGACGAGATGAGACAGACGGTGAGCGAAGAGAAGTATCACCAAAATCAACACCAAGGGGTATGTACTAATATAAAAATACGTAATTCGCTTCATTTGAAGTAAACATAGGATTTTTTTCATGTGTTTGTGATTTGATTTGATTGACAGACATGGATCAAAATAATAAGATTATCTTGGGATGAACATATCAAAGATAAATCTGGATATTTATTTATTTTCTTCTTTTTTTTCTCACAGCATCAAGAAAATTAAAAGAAGGGGAAGAAGTTTTAGCCAGATGGTCTGATGACGGATGGTACTATAGAGGTATGACCCCATATCATCATGTCTAAATTGCTGATTTGCATATTATGCAAATTAGCTACAGTATTGGGTTAAGGGCTTAGCATTAGTCAGAAGCCCCCCCCCCCCCCCCCCAAAAAAAAATCATTTTTTAAACTGAGGTTTTTACACATTCAAAAAATCCACTCTTGTTTACAACATTGCACATGTGACTGAAAATCTTGCAAACTATTATGTGGTTTATAAATATGCAAGCTAGCCAATCATGAAGAGTTTAATAAATTAGCTTCGCATCATGTGACTCAGTTTGTCCAATGACTATGTTTCTTTATTATCACTACAGGCACTGTTGCTTCTATTGTGGATGAGAATACATATCTCATTTCTGATAGTGTTGGTGATCTAGAACAGATACAGAGAAATGATATATTCACAGATGGCGACGATTCAGATAATATAATAAAGGTAAACAATATTTTTTAGTAAATTAATGTAAACAAATACACTGATACATTACAGTGTATAATTAAATTGTCGATGTTTTTAAAATCTAAGTAATTTGAGGTCCAGGTGAGTTCACAACAAATAACTCTTTCTGTGCAGGTTGTTCTTCCAGTGTAGTCTATGACATATTTTTATCATGCAATCTATAATGATCTATGATGTGATTCACTCTGACATGATCAGTTCATTCTGGGTCATATTTTATTTTTGCACAAGGGGTGATTCAGTGAATATACCTTTTTTCTATATTTCATATTCAACTCATCAAATATCAGTGAAAATAAACTCCTTACAAAAAACTCAAAATGTCATTTCAGCAAAAATTAATTTCAGCTGAAAAAAATGTATTTTGCATTCATTACCTGTTTCATACATGGGCCATGCCTGTTAATTCTAATTCATACCAGTTCTGGGTTGTGTCACTTCATTTAGGGGCATGTATCAGTTTATTGTGGAAAATATAGATTCATTATGGTTTTTAGTCCCTGTTCAGATGCAGTTCGAAAATGAATTGACTTCTGTGCCGATTTGTTTTAATTAATTCTGTTTCAGAGAATATCTTTCAATATAGACAAGTACTTGTTTGGCAATCAGATACAAGATAACTGAATGCCTAATTAAAGCTTTGAAACGTCTCAGTTCATACTCATTGATCTGCGCAAAAGTCAAAGTCGCCATCTTTGTTTATATGAGACCCATATATCTCGCACATGCGCAGCGCGACGACTACCGCGCTTTAAATTTGATAACTAACAGGGACTGTGCCAAGCATGGCTTGTATCAGTTCATTCTGTGCATACTGTATCAGTTCATTCTGGATTGTACCAGTTTATTCTAATTTAAAAGCATATCAGTTTATTCTGGGGCATATCAATTCATTTTGGGTTGTATCATTTTTTTCTGGAGCATATCAGTTCATTTTGGATCAGACAAAGTTTCATAACTGATCTAATAATGAATTATTCTCAGTAAAGTAATATAGATAAACTTAAGCCATCATTCGTTTATGTGATTATTTATAGCAATAAAACTAAAAATATTCTTTTGTGTGTCTTTTTACCAGCCAAATGATCCTGTCATAGCCCTGCATCCAAGCTATTCCTTCAGTTACTCCCCTGGTGTAGTCTTAAACATTTACCCAGATCTATGGACACACATTCGTTACTATGATGGTGAGGAAGCAAAGGTACCCAGGGAGGAAGTGTACAAGACAACTGCAGACAAGTTTGAGGATGATGTCAGATTCATCTTACAATGTGAAGACAGCTGGGTGGGCCAAGCAGTGGTTGCTAGAAATGATACTGATGGGAAGTACTACCTAGGTAAGTGATACAAAGCAGATGACTGTTGGTCCAAACAATTTCAAAGTTGTGATATTGTTGAGTTATGATTCATGTTATGTGAATCTTGTTATCATTCAATGTACCACACCTATTTGTCAAATGTTTGAATGCACAGACTTTAGTCAGAAGGGGTGTTTATTCGAAGCATTGTTCACATATGTAAAACAAGACATTTCTACTTATTGAGGATTTATTGTTTACAACAACTTTATTATAATGTAAAGCACACACAGATTTAACAATACTAAAAATGTCAGAGAGGCGTGCAGTGACACAACTCATTGTATCTTCAATTTTTATAATTTCCTTATTATTTTTCTGAATATCCACAGGTCAGGTAAAAGAGAGAGTTGGTAATGGTAGACAGTACATCGTGGAATGGGCAGATGGTTCCCTGCAGATTCAGAACTCATCGTGTATATTTGGTGCATTCACCAAACGTCATCGTCTGGCACTGGGAGACAAAGTACTAGCAATTATCAACAGTCAGAGTCTGGTCTATCTGCCAGGTGTTATCACTAGTGTCAACGGCAATGAGCTGGTGGTGAAATTCTGTGATGGAAGAAGGTATGCAAAACACATTGAGTGCATAAATAATTTACTAGTGAATACAAGCCTAAAGACTTGTTTTGTCCTGGGAGCATTCTAGTTATAGCATATAGAGAAATATTGTGTCAGTATAACATTCAATACATTATTACTGGCTTGGTTGGAACACCTCGTCAAAAGGTTACAATCCAACCACCAACAGGAGGAAACTATTTTCCATTCTGAGACTTAATTTCTACACAATATTTAAATAAGGACCAATGAGCTCTCTATCCAATGATTATTACAACTAAGTTTGCATTATATTGCTGGAAGTAAGAGTTGACATGAATTTATTTACCATCTTTTCAGTGATGCAACATTTATCTGACAATTTTTTTCATTTCACAGTTCCAGTCACGTGGACCCGAAGCAATGTTTCTGGCTTTCACAAGACTATTACGATAGTGCCGTATCTTTCTATCAGCACCGACAAGACTACTCCTCAGAAGGGTCGACTGATTCCAGCCGTTAATGAGATATTTTTAAAGAAATAAAAAACAAACTTTTATTGTTCTAAGATAGATGTAATTTCTAAATATATTTGTTGAAATTTTTTTGAATAGATGTATAGTGTTTTTTTTTTTAATATCAGGAATGATATTATAAATGATAATTTTTTAAAAAGTGCAAACATTTCTGTTGAAAATGAAGTCCCTCTTTACACTAAAGTCTTGCAATTTATTTTTATATATCTGTTAGCAATCATATCACTTTTCAAGCCTTGGGTTGTTGAAACTTCCAATTATGAAAATCATTATTTCACAGAAGAAAAACTTATTTTTATTAAATTTGGAGGTGGGATGCTTTTTTATTTGTCACCATTTGCAATGGGTGTAAAGTTGTATTTTTTAGTGGCAAATTTTGAAAATAGGGATTCTTTGGGATTAGATAAGTTGATATATCAACCACCTCATGATACTCTAATCTGATCGATTCGTGTAATGGCAAGTATTATGCAAGTTCAGACGTATAATGAATGAAAAAATGCAAAAGATTGAGCAGTGGAGAAAATTTAAAAAAAACATTGATGACCCTGTTGCTTTGCCTCCAGCCCAAACTTCATCTTTAGAATCATGAAATAAACTAAGAATATGATAATTGTATGCATTCTTAATATATATGTTATAACATGCAATACCCACCTGCAAACACATGGTTTTAGATTATTATTTTGACTTCCTGCACACTAGAGTAACATGTGTATCCACGCTTACCAAACCTTAAATTTGAGAATGATGTGCAAATCACGAACGTCAGATTATCACCCAAATTATTCTTGTATATAAATTTGATTGCAATTAGTATAGAATTCCAAAAATTATGAACAATTAATCGCAGAGTTGAGTCAATACAGTAAAAGTACTGACATGCACACTTATACTTCCTAGATTGCTAGTAACTGTTATTCATGGAAAAAGCTCAAATAGTTCATGTGTCAATGTAAATATTAAAAGGCAATTATTTGTATTTGTGACATTTACATATAAAATCATGTTTCTTGGCATAATTGCTTTTGAAATGTTACTTTCTTTATCAGAGTAAATAAATTGTTATGACCTACTTAAACATGTAAACACTTGCAACTATACTTGTTTCTGCAGATTTTTTCAAAAATAAATGCATTGCCATGGATACCGCAAGTGTACCATAATATGCAAGCTAGAAAACATCTGTGGGTTTACATCATAAACAAATGTATCACATAAAGTCATATTGACTGTAAAATTGAGTTCAAAGCCATGTTAAGTGATAATAAACAGTACTAGTATTTGCAAGATATCTGCTTTGCCAATCACCAAACATCACCAAGCAGTTCTGGAGTGATTGAGTTTTTAGCATCTTAAGGTGTCATCAAGTTACTGAATCATACACTAGATTCTTTGTTCAACAAACAAAAATTTAGCTAGATTCCAAAATCAACATGTGAAGTATTTTCCATTAAGACTACCCTGGTAGTACAAGATATCCCCTCCTTTTTTAGCTCCGCTGTCGACTTTGTCGAGCGGAGCTTATCATACCGGTATGAGTGATTTTCCGTCGTCGTCCGTGTCAACGTTTTACTTTTTCGACTTCTTCTTGAAAACTACAAGCCTGAATGGTTTGATACTTGGTGTATATGTACCTTGGGTAGACCTCTCTCAGAATTGTTAATTTCATGATCATATCTTCAATTCTCTAATTTTGGTGAATATTTTTGTCATTTTTGATAAAAAAGTGATATTTTCAACTTCTTGTTGAAAACCGCAAGTCCAATTGCTTTGATATTACATATATAGGTACTACATGTGGACCTCTCAGATTTGTTCATTTTGTAATGACATCTTCAATTCTCTAATTTTGGTGAATATTTTTGTCATTTTTGGTAAAAAGTGATATTTTCTTCTTGTTAAAAACCACAATCATTTATGGTGAAAATGATATTTTGAATATTGTTCATTTTCTAATGATATCTTCTGTTCTTTAATTGAAATGTGCATTGCTAACAGCGGAGCCATCTCAGCCGAAAGGCTGCTTGTTAAATTTATAAAACTCGTGTTATCACTTACTAGGTTAGTTATGTTTAGTCACGTCCCTGTAGCAGTAATAGAACAGCAATGCATTATGTGCTAAGTTTTGGTAAATATAGCTCATGAACACCATAACTTTCAAGTAGAAGTTCTACTTTTATTGTTGTGATCACCTGTATGATTGTTGGTATACATGTCTCTTGAACTACATCTGACCAAATGTATGCAAATTGTGTTTAAGTTTTGCAGCCAATCAGAGGTTGTCACAGACCGCTTTAGTCAAACATAGACTGTTTTAGTAAGGCGGGTTCTCATTTATTGATGAATACGATTAGAAGAAAGATCTTGAACATTATTTTAATATACACACTTTATAAGTAGTTGTAGATGTTAGAAGTGTATATATACACCAGAGCAGCCATGAACCAGTGATTGCAGATTAAAAACATACAGAGCCTTTATCAACATAAAATTTTAATCATTGCAGGACACTCTACTGGAATCTTTATTATTTTGAAAAAGCAAAACCAACAGACTTATGCAGACCAAACATGCTCACTGGAATTACACTCTACGTGATGAGCACTTCATTAAATAACAAAACTTACAAAATTAAGCTTCTGCTGTTTATTCAGTAAGTGCAGTACAATGTACAGGTATATACCGTACATGACATGCATATGGATGAAAACAGTGTCTCTCAATTTAAATGTGACAATATTACAGTAATCTCGTATGAACATGTGCTGATCATGGTGTATTTATAAATACAGTACATGTTGATATCACCTGTAGTCATAAGATCAACTATCCTTACCTAGTTGTGTTTGTATGGTTTTAATAAGGTAATGCGTGTAATTTAACCTTTTACAATAGACATCGCAACATTAATTTGTTGCTGTTTTTAGTCTGCAGCATTTGCATTTAGAGAATGTTTCAAACGGTTTAAATTTGAACTCTTCTAAATTGTGAAACATAATATTTTGACTCCAATAAAAAAATAATAATAAATATTCATTAATATTCATATTGCTCATTAATATTTATGAGCCACATTTTGTACATTTTTATGTATTTTTCATAATTTCTTACCAATGAACATAATTCTCCATCGAATTCAGGTTTTGGGGAATAATGATGACAATGGCGTAAGGAGCAATTATTCATGTGACCCTTGTTTACATGTAATTAGTACACTGATGTACTATGAGTGCTAGCACAGTTTACTCGCCAAATGACTTAACTAAATTTGTCTGGACCGACTTCTGTTGTCTTTGTAAACCCATTTTTTGCACTGGATCAGATAAATGACGCAGCCTGAACTGTGACAGAGGACTGTTGTTCCAGTAACGCATCGGACTAAGCAATGACCTTGGAGAAACAGCAAATTTTGACTGAGACACAGAACGTGACGACCTTACTGCTCTCGTGGGTGCAGGACTTGACCAGCTATGATAAAGTAGAAACAAAATTTTAAATTTATACTTTGAAGTGTGAGTTGGTACCGATATATGATCAATATTTTCAACACCAAAACTGTCCTTGATTCACCAGTCAGCTGGTTAAATGGTGACAATGCATAAGAACGGTGGAGAAGTTAGGAAACCATCTTTAAAATTACACAAACCATATAACGTTACAATCAAATCAAACAAGAAATCCTCATTTGAGGACATCACCAGCATTAAATCGAAATTTTAAAAAGAAATCCGTGGATGTTTCAACTGCTTTGATCTTTACTTCAGTGTATTTGGTATATTATTTACTCACCTATTTTGAGTTTCTGTAGGAAATGACGTCACCATGTGTTTCCACTGTTTCACTAGAGGATAATTATCTGTGATTTCCAATTTTTCAATAGCTCTCAATACATCTAAGTCTAACTTACTGGGACTACTCCTTCAATGAGAAAGAAAATGTTCAAACAAATCAAGGTTTCAGTAGTCATTTCATTAGTTTATCCAGTGGTTTGCATAGTCAAATTAAGTAGCACACAGTCTGAAGTCAGTCAACCTAGGAAATATACATCATGATATCCCAAGGGGCCAATGTGTTCTAGGCAATAACAGTAATGGTTGATACTTGATCAATCTGTATAAAACAGTAGAGGCATTTATGATGAACTTGTTGTGTGGATGTGTAGGTTTGTTTGGGTCTCTATTTAACAGTTGTATTTTGCCAGATTTGCAAAAGTATTTCTGGAACTTTATTCTTGCAATTTTGTGCTTATGTAATATCCCACTAGTTACATACTGTGTGGTATCTTTATAGCATAATCAACTTCTTTTGTACCTACCCCTGCAAGAAAACTTTTGTTTTGCCATGGTGACTGGTTATATTCCTTCTGGATGACTGAGGGGTAGTGAAGTCCTCAATATTCAATGTTGGAGCAGTATGGGGTGGACTACATTCCGCAACTTCCTTGCGTTCAGAGCGAATATCAGAGTTCTCATGCATGGTGTCTTTCCCAACTTCACTGGGATTGCCATTAGTAGGTTTCATCAATCTCTTTGCGGGGGAGGAAATGTCAATGGTTATCTCGCTACCTGTATCACCAGGTACATTCACATTCCTGGTATTCCTATCGACAGCATCAGCTTTGTTCGAGGGTACATGCGCTAAATCAGTCAGTTTATTACCAAAGGGTGATCCTAGTTTGAGTTTTGAAAATGCTTCTACAAGAGACTGCTCGGAGACATCATAACGTTCAGTCATTTGTGGAGACACCATGTCACTGACAGCATCGTGATATATTTCTGAACCACTGTCATCAGTGGACTCATCGAAACCTGTCCATTCGCTCAGAGCATCAAAAAAAGTATCAGAACTCCCTGTACTTGTGCTATCATTAATAGACGCGTCAGCTTCTCTCCACTCGGTCCATAATTTGTCAGCTTTTAAAAAATCGTCAGTGTATTGAGGTGTAGAGGACTTTTCAATATTGATAACATTACCAAATGGATACTCAATACATGGTTCTTTCAGTTCATCTGTTTTCGAATCTGACTGATGATACTTGCTGTCAGTTGCGTCCTTGTCACTACCACAGTCTGAAACCTCTGCAGTTTGTTTGTACTCAAGGTGCTTACTTTCTATGTCAGACTCACTGACTTGCATAAGTTCCAAACTTTCTGATAATGACTTCATCACGCTTTCAGCATGCAGAATTTCTGGACTGGGTGTTAGATCTTTGTTATTAGAAACCATGCATGAATCATCATCTAAAATTAAAATAAGTTATATTATTTTTCATTAATTGAAAGGACAACTCTAATGTAATATAAATGAAATAGTGTTTAAAAAACATGTAAATTTAATGTATATTTATTAGGTTTTTCCTTTCAAAATTTCTAGGATACATGTATGATTCTTTCACTCATGTTATCATTGCATCTGAATCAGATTTAAACATTAAAGAATTTGTAGGGTAGCTGTGCTTGGGCTAAAAAAAAACTGAGACGTAAAAAAACGGTGTAGAGAGTGCCTTGTTTATATTTTGTTCTGGTTGTCTTACTTTTCAGTGGAACGAGAACAAAAATAGTGAGCATGCCATTTTGAATGGACATGCATATTGACCAGAAGTGAATAACCCGGAACACATGTGGTTGTATATTATGTTGTTGTTCACAAAATTGAAGTATTTGTCATGATTTATTATAATTCTGATGAATAATATTCATTTTTTCATAAACGAAAAATAGTTGATACTGAGTTAAAACAGCATTTACCATACTCGACCACGTTAATGCCCAAGTCTCCACTTTTGTGAATTCGCCAAAGTGCCCACCCCTTGAAAATGTGCATATTTTTTGTGACCATTTTTGTTTCTTCATTGTAAAAGTCAATGACGATGCAACTAATTTTGTTATTGTATTTCCCCTCAAAGACGTAATATCCCCCTCAATCTGTCACATGGTGAATTAAAATTGTCATTTGCACTCTTTTCCGAGGGGGGTGCTCAGGTAAGCGCCCACCCCTAAAAATCATGATTTTCTGAGTTGAGGACCTTGGGTATAGGTTTTGTAATAATGTAATAATTAGATCCATTTAAAAACTTAATGGGTTTGTTAAAAATAAATAATTTTATGAACTTTTATAAACATATTGATATTAATTTATATATCATTTTTTTAGTCCAAGTTTACAGTATCATAAAATGAGGCTATCTTTTCCATTTTAATAGATAAATACCTTGAGTCATTTCTCTTGAACGATTTTCTAGATAACGCTCTAGAGTACCGAGTCCCTCGAGAGAGGACAGATTGATATAGCAATCCAGAAATGGCCAGAATTCCACCCACGGAACATCCATACTAGAAGCAAGGTCTCTGAAAACAGCAAACATTTTATCATTTCGTTAGATCGACTTTTTAGTTCTGTATTCAATAAGTACATGTATGATAGGTGCCTGCTAAACAGTGTTTCCATGGACACTATGTGATGTAGTCATGCACAATGACGTGCTAGACTGATCAGAACATAACTACATTGTGTAAATGTGTGCCTGGCTATATTTGATGACTATATGGCTTTATAGAGAGAGAGACAGTGTTGATATATTTTAGTTGTGAAGTCAGGACACTCGCTCCATTTAATGAAGTGTGAATTATTTGATGCATCCATGCAGAATATTTCATTCAGTAATTAAGTAATCATTCTGTGATATATATCCTATATCAATCATAATTTTGTGCTGTGATTAAAGAGATCTCCACTGCTCAATTTCACAATTTTTGGCTGTCATAATATTAATTCTTTTGTAAAGTTTATATGCCCGTATCACCATGGTACTGATTGTTACATCTGATCTGTTTATCGAAGGTACACTGTTAATGTAAGATTTGTTTCTGTGAGATGTTCGCTCTATTTGAGAACTATTGTTCTCCCTATAGCCCTGTGCCAGTTACGTTTTCAACAGAATGACTGTTTTTGCACTATCATGCTTTAATTTTTTGGCAGCCAGTTTCTGAGTCACACACACGCCTAAATTTGAAATTACAACCAAGAAGAAAAATTTGGGGCAAATTTTGGAGATAAAAAAAAAATTTAGAAGTCAATAAATTATGAAAATCTGCTGAATAGGTTGCATTTTAGAAATATTCCGCTGGTTATTAAATTTCTTTTGTCATTCTTAGTTCAAACATATCCTTACTTTAAGCAGTGATATTCATGTGACCAAAAACATAAATTTTGATTGATAAAATATTTTTTGGGATTAAAGTCAAAAGATAAAAGGAGAAAAAACAAAGACATACCTTCCTAATCTTTCAAGCCCTTTATCGCTATCACTCCTTTTGATGTTAATGGCTTTCCGTCTTTCACTTCTGGGGGGAGTGATCCAACTTTTGTAAAAATTATTAGCCTGAAATTAAACATTGACAGGCTGAGTGATATAGACTTTATTCTTACAGGTTAGCATTGGCACACACTCTTGCATCAATTCTAATTGATAGAAGACCTTCGTTTCATCAGTACTATCAATGAATAGACAATAATGTAGGAAGACCAAACTCCAAATGTCACGATTGAAAAAGACACATTAAATGGTAAAACTATGTATATTGCAGTATTGTAGTCATGGACTTGTACAATTCAGTCACTGCTGCCAAGATGTATGTATCAATGTATACTACTGACAATGTTGGTTATGCCCTCTTGAGGTGAAACGACTTGATAAAACAAGGGCATCTCATGGTGGCGCTGCAGAAGAATTATATAATAGAACAGAATAATACTGTTTACACTATGTGCATGCAGTTTTGAATTTAAATCATAGAAATATTTGAAGCTTTTGAATGGCAGTGAAAAGTTAAATCATTTCTCTATTGTACGATACTTGGCATAGCATCTGAAGTGCAAGTATCAGGTCGAAATCATCCACTCACCTGACTAGAAGGCATGGGTCCAGCATATGCTCGCATCGTAACAACTGGGTCAATTGGACTACTAGTTGTTCTAGGCAACAAAGGGCTTGATTGGTCAAGTCCAGATGGATCAGGTGACCAGGGCTCACCAATCACAGCATCTGTTGCATTGTCTTCTGATCTCCACAGTGGTACAAAACATTGTTCTTTAACAAAAACAAATTGTGAAATTTAAATTTTCTAATCAATCATTATCGATAATTTTAATTCAAATATTATCTAAAAAGTTAAATGTCCTTTTACTTTACACAAATCAGACAAGGAACTGGGAATAAAATGATACAATTCAATTTGACTTTCTAATTAAGAAGAACACAATCAACTTCTTCGAAGAAGTTCACAATACAAGTATTGGGTGCTAACTACTGTAATAATAAAAAACAAACCATTGAGTAAAGCTCTAATTTTTTCCTTGACGCCATCAACATCACATCGGGACCCTGCAATCTGAAATAATTACAAAGAGAGTACAGTGTTGAAACTATAAATAAACCAAAACACAACTGAGCTACAACACTGTCAATGTTACAGTGTCTAATCATGGTACAGTTCATATCCTGAGAACTGCTTCAATCATGCCAGAGATAAAAGTAATATGAAAAATAGGAACAGGAAATCACAACAATTATATTTACAATTCGAACAAATGCTCTGCCTTTAAATTTGAATGGTCCTACAGCATCTGCAAGCACCATACATTGAAGCACTGTTACGTTGAACTCTCATGATTTGCAAGTGTGTGAAAATGATCACTACATGTATCACTACCTAAAATAATCTGAGCTGAACACTAATCAGTTCTTTGACAGACGGCGCCTGAATTTCTAGAAATGTTGGTTTGTCTTTTGATCATTACATCACACACCTTTATCTTATAAATCCATGGTACAGTGAAGGGCAGAAAGCTGTACCTTATTTTATGAATACAATTATAACAAATTGTAAATACTGATCATCAGCTTTCATTTAAAGTTTTAATATGAATAGTCAGAAACTGCATTCATTAAAACAAAATGGCCACCAGTCAGTCATTTGAAATCTGATATAAAAAACAAAATGTGCATCATGATCTATAATTTTCAAACCAAGAAATCTGTCTATGCACAACCTAAATCCAAATCCAGCATCAGAGAAATGCTTCATTTTGGTGAATAGTTATCGTTAAAATGGCCACTATTCGGCCATATTGAATTGCATCATCAAATGAACACACATGCGTGCATGAATCAATAGAAATGGTGGAAATGATTACACATCAAAGGACACCCAAGATATGAACACCTTTGTGTCACAAAAATGTGTGTCAGTGGCGAGTCCTGTTGATTAATCCGCACACTGATGTGTACAATGTATGGCAGTTTGCATGGTTGTAGATGTCAGTGAGAAACTTCAGCCTCAGCCTCACAACATTGGGGGGGGGGGGGGGTGTGACTTGTACAGAAATGTAGAATAAAATGTAGAATGTTTATTGAGCACACACATTATTACCTGACTTGCTGTCTCTCCATTTCTATTCTTCACTGTCTTGTCTACACCAGGATGGCTCACAAGAATCTCAACTACTTCCACACTTCCAAACTTACTGGCAAAGTGTAATGGAGTTTCACAGTTCTGTATAACATGAGAAAAACAATCCAAATGGTCTATAAAATGTGGTGCTTCAGATGAACGATGACAAAAAATGATTTTTGAATCATGTACACTTTTATTAGAGATGTGCACATCAAATATTGAGTACCGGTACTATAAAATACTTAATTTTCACTTGGAATTTATTTTCACTATTTTCGCTGAAGGAATGATTCAGTGAAAATAAAATCCAGCAAATAAACTTTTTTTCTTATGTTTTACGTTCAACTCATCGAAAATCAGTGAAATTAAACTCCATACAAAACACCCAAAATATCTTTTTAGCGAAATTAATTCCAGCTAAAATAAAGAATTTCACAGAACACTCACCCCCTTTTCTGGCATATTCAAATACAGATCAATGATGTACGCCATTCGTTTACAGTGTGTCAGGTCATCATCATCGGGGTACATTAAATATAGAAACTTGGAATCCA